CAACTGTCTGGAGAGTTGCACGTGTAGGGTTCAAGCCCACGGAAGGCTCGCCTTAAACGCAAACACCGAGTCCTCCGATACCCTAAGCCCTGCACCCTAAACCCATCAACATCAACCGCACTGAAAGGACTTCAGTCCTCCACGAAGCAACCAAAACCCACTGACACTTCACAATCGGCGGGAGGGGATCCAGCGTTCCTCGGGTTGTGGGAAGCTTTCAAGTAAACCCAAGACCCTGCCAATGTTGCACTTGTAGGTCCCCTTTCCCTAGATCGTCAAGTCCTAAGACGCTAAACCCTAAAATCCTAAAGCAATACGGCTTGGGGTCTGTAGAATCAGAATAGGCTTCCTTTAAAGAGCTCTATATAAGGGGCTGCTATAAGGGGTATCATAGGAGGTTTTAGCCTTAATAACTAGAATCGGGTTTTGGGGTATCTTATACGACAGTTTTAGGAAAGAGCCCCAAAATAGTATTGGAACTAATTTAGGCCACTGTAGCATTCCTGCAGACAGGCCTTCTCCATTTCCTTCATGACAACATGGGAGCCGTCGTCGCGACCGCTGCCTCTTTTTCATGCAATGCTTAATAATGACTCGCGCCGTGCAAGCGTCATGAGCATAATACCAAACAAAACGTGGCATAATGTCCTCCACCGACAGGTCTACGAAGCATTTCGAGGATACAGGCCTTTATCATGATAATTCGCATGCGCGGTCATCCTACGAGTAACAGCAAGCAGTGCACCTGCCATCGCTTTGATGCCATCGTTGGCCAAGCTCTGCACGGATGTCTCGACCTGGCTAAATGCTGACGTTACCCCCTAAACCCTAAACCCTAAACCCTAAAACCCCAAACCCCCCAGGGCTCCAAGTCTGCAAATCGGGGTCTAAAAGCCTATAAAGAGGACCTACGTGGGGTTATTTGGAGCCCCTAAACCCTAAAACCTAAACTGTAGACCCTAAACCCTAAAATGCACACCCTAAACCCTAAACCCTAAACTGCTTCGGAGGCTTTCAAGAGCATCTTGACCCTCAGCCTTCGGAGTCTCAGTTATACGGGTCAAAAAGAGTGGCATTGGAAGAATCTTGAACTGGAAGCTTCCTGGATCAGCCTTAGGATTCTAAGGATCCTTAACCCTTACCCTCTAAGGACTCATATGTTAAGGCTTCTGGGCCCAAAGACCCTGTTGTATAAGGCTTTTGGGCTATTTTGATGCTAAGGGTAAGGGTACATATGGGAGTTCCGAAAATTAGGGGTACCCTATTTTGGGGTCTTTTATAATAAGGCTCCTACATATATAAGTGGTACAGGGTCAATTGGAGTTTAGGGTTTGGGGTTTATGTATAGGGTTTAGGGTTTATGTTGGGTTTATTGAGGGTGTCTAGGGTTTAGGGTGTATGTAGGGTTTAGGGTTTATGTAGGCTTTATTGAGGGTGTATAGGGTTTAGGGTTTATTTAGGGTTTTTGTTTAAGCGCCTCTTTTCCAACTCGCAGAGTCAGAGATCCTTTGCAGGAAGGCCCGCACAGCTCCATTAAGCCATGCCTCGACACACAAGACTCCATCAGACTCCACCGGACTTGTCCCCAATCGCTTCGTTGTCTTTGGACCCTGGACCCGCAGCCCCTGTAGACGACCCTTGCGACTCCACCACGTCTTCCGGTCTCGGGATGTCCTCGGTCTCCACTAGCCACTGAGCCCAGAACATATCCAGCATTCCTGTCCTCAGTTCTGCTGCGACATCATGGTTGCTGAGTAGCCCCTGACCCCAAGCCTCGTAGCGCTGCTGGTATAAACTGTCGCCCTGTAACCCTGGCCCTTGGCTGCCATCCGCGGTCCCAGGACTGTTTCCACCCACACTGGCCCCTGGGCACAACTCCGACGCGGCTGCCATCTCCGGAGCCTCCTCCACCTGTTCACTGAAGCTGAGCTGGATGTCAATCGGCCTCCCCCTGGTAAGTGGGACACTGCAGGCAACACACTCCGAGGAAGTGCCATGACGAAGTGTGACCACTGTCCGCAGCCTGCGAGGCACCGGCGGGGGAGGGTGTTGGATGAGCCACCACTCCCAGTCCCGGTACACAGCTGCACGGTGCTGCTCAAACAGCTCCTCATCCCTGGCCGCTTGCTGAGACTCTGCCCGTTCCCGGTCGTCCTGTTGCGCTTCTCTGCCAGCCTGCTCTCTCGCCTGTTCTTCCTGGTACTGCTTCTCCTCCTGAGCCACCATCTCCTCCGCCTCCAAGGTGCGCTTCCTGGAGCTGGCCTGAATGCTGGTCTGCATCCAGAATTCCTCATCATCATCCACTTCCACCTCCACTTCCTCATCCTCTCGCGGGAGTAGGGGTTCCACGCGCAGCATCATGAGCTGGCTGAGCTCCACCATTAGCATCGCCATGGTCCTGAGAAGACCCGTCATGACGACCACGACGTCCTCTGGCCTCACTTCTGGCAACGCCCTGGCACGATTGGCGTGGTTGGCTGGGTCCAAGGCCCGGCGAGAGTCCGTCGAGAGCCCATCCCTGAGCCCCATCGTATGAAGCCAGAAACAGGTGGCATTTCCAACTGTCATCGCCGGTGCACGCGTTCCCCGCGGCACCAATCGCCGTGTTTCTCTCGTCACCGGGGGTGGCTCTCTGGAGCGTGCTGGACGGTCCCCGGAAGAAGCCGATGCCCTCGCGGCCACTCGCTCGCTCCTGCTGCGAGGTTGGCGGCGTCGATGCTCCTCAGGGTGGCTGTCCACTCTGCGGCCTCCTCCGGCGCGGTCTCCTCGGTCTTCCTCCCCCTCGTCCTCGTCATCCCGGTCGTTGTGAGGTCCTCCTCGTCCCGGGTATCGTCGCTGTTTGGGGGCAGGGCGTCCTGCTCCTCTATCCATGAAGGAGGTGGCATCTGAGTCACGCCCTCCGCTTCGGCTCCTCGACCGTGTTCGCGGGCTTGCCGGGGCAGTGCGTTCTGCGGCCCACTGCCACCACAAGCTGCGAGCATCCTCCGACATGGTCCTCTGGCCCCTTGCCTGCATAACCTGATCACTTTCGCCGACCATGCCTTCTAGGAAATCAATGAACTCCTGCCAGAGTTCTGCTTCCATCCAAGTGACCACTGCCTGGGATTCTGCTCCAACCTCAACCGCCCTGCATCTGTCAATGTCAATCGGCAGGTTCATGCGTTCAAAGTAGTCCTCCGATTCCATCAGGTAGTCATGGTCCCCCCTTGCCCATATGAGCTCCATCAAAGCCGAAGCGATGACGGTGAGCGAGGTCCCTCTCGCCTCCAGGTAAGTGACAACCCTTTTGGCCATGTCGAAGAAGTCACCCCTCTCCTGTGGTGGCTCCTCTTCCCGGGCAGCCAAGGCCCCCACCACGGGCGCCATCCACATACGTAGTAATCCTGTCCCCTCATCTTCTCCTCCATCTGTGTTGTCCGGGTCCACCGCCGTTGCTGGGGCCACTGTGTCCTCCACTGTAGTGCCGTCACTCCCTGTTTGCTCCATGCCCTGCGGGGACGGGACAAGCCAAGCACCTGGTGGCCCCCATCTGCTTTGCAGCTCCTCTGCAACCCAAGGCCCGTGTGTACCTGCTACCTCTGTAAAGGTGAGTTGTCCTGCATGCCAGTCCAGGTGGAGCCTCTCGAACTCGGCTTCCGACAGGCCGAAGAAGGCGAGGTTAAAGGGTGCCCCTGGTGGTAGTGGCATGCCTCCAGACGAACCTCCGGGGCGGTCGCCTGGCCGCGGCCCACCAGTAGCCGGGGCCAATACCGTGCTTGCTGGACTAGGCAAATCTGCTTCAGCCTCATAGCCCAAACTGAACTGCAGCTGCACCGAGCCACCTTCCTCCTGTAGCGGGACATCCAGGCGGACTGCGCGGGGGGGAGTCCGATGAACTCGAACTCAGCTCAATCTGGAGAACCCTGCGCTTCGCTGGCCGAGGCGGTTCGGCCTCGTAGCTGTCATTCAGCCGAATGGGCGAACGCGGCATAGGCGTAGGGGGCATGAGGCCACTTGTCGGCATAATGCGGGGAAGGTCGTGCGAAGGCCACTTCCCAGCAGCTTCCATGCTTCCAGGGTGTCGTTCAATGAACCTCGTAACCCTCTCCCAAACCGGGCGCAACCAATCCAGCTTCTCGTCGCCTGCAGGAATCTTCGAGCCCCACACCTCGTCGTCCCACATCGCCACCAAGAGCGCCGTCAACGTGGCTGTGCGGCCCTGCATGTGCCCTAGATACAGGCCTCCTGTTGTGTCCGTCGCTCGGTGGTTGAGAAGTCGCAGCATGTGCGCGGCAGTCTGGCTGCGCTCTCCTTTCCCAAGCCCTTCCAGCTTGACCCTGATCTCCTCCAGCAACTGGTGCCAGAGGCTTTCCACATCCTCTTGCATAAAACTGGTCATCTCCGGCTCACGCTCTTGAAGGTCCGTGCTGGTTCTCATCCCTGCTGGTCCATCGCCCGAAACTTCCGTCCGGGCCTCCTGAATGACTTGCTGACTCGTCCGGGTGGGAACCGCCCCGCTGCCTCCATGGAGAGGCGTCTTGTTGTCACTGGGGCGGCCCGTCTGCACATCGTTGGTTGGCGGGGGCTCCACCCCCTGGCACGCAAGGCGCATGGCAACCTGTATGGATGGTGGGGGGCCTGCCTCTTGAAGGTGCACCGCCACCTGCTGCCCGAAGGCAAACCCAAAAAGGGCTAAAAAGATACGTAGGCACCACATGGCTGTGTCGCGTGGAGAATGCGATTGCTCAGCCCAAGCGCTGCAGGACACATCAGGTTGTCGACCTTCATCCCTCCCTGCACCCTCAGACCCTTAAAATCGAATACACGTCTGCCTGTTCCCCGTCCACGGCACATCCATATTGCTAATCCACTTGGCACTGCACGAAGCCCATGCTGCCCGATCCCTTGCAACCCTGCGCCACGGAGAACCCTCCACTGCACCATCCATGTCTTTCTCCATGTTAGAGAGCTTGGGATAGTGTCGGGGATGGAAAATTCGTTGGCTTGCTGGTTTGCTTTGTTCAACTGTCCACCATTCCCGAGTACGGTATGAAAAGCTGCACCTGGAAATTCCCTGTCCCCTGCTCTAGCCCTGTGGCCTGCAAAGGCCCACCATCGTTGTAGCCAACAGGAAGACCAACGCCTGCCGAGGACAGTCCACACAACCTGCCTGGCTCCTCTCCACGCCCTTTGTCTGAAGCCAAGCCACGTTTCCTGAGCCCTTTTCCCGACACGCATGCACCACGCCACCAACTGTAATTGTAGGCTATTCAACACCTGCATGCCCCCTGCGTCCGGCGCGAGTGCTGCCAAACACCACAAAACCATCCCTCCTACCACACGATCTAAGAGTTGGACTCGACCTTGCAGTGGTGTGGAGGCTCGTAGGAGGTGTTTGAGTGCCCAGAACTTGTCCTTTGTCCGCTGTAGAAACGGGGCCAAGAGTTCAGCCGAGCTCGCACCAACCCGGAAGGGAACTCCCATGATGGCAAGTGTCGGAACCTGTGGAATCACCGTCCCAGCCACGCGCACCTCCTTGGGGCCTGTCGCATAGGGGGAGAGGTACACCTTGCATTTGGCAGGATTCAACGACAGCCCTGCTCGCAACAAGACTTGCGACCACTCCTCTAGCTTCCGCCCTAGTGCTTTGGCCGAGTCTGCCCAAACCACACCATCATCCATGAAGAGCACTTCCTCAAGTTCTAGACCCTGGAATGCCTGCCCTCGCTTCGTCCACTCAAACTCTGCTCGTGTCTCCTCCAGGATCTGTTCGGCCAGGTAGCTGAAAAGTGCCGGGCTCTCAATGCTGCCTTGTTTTATTCCCCTGTCTAGTTGCAACCGGGTGGTATCCCAGCCTGTTTGCAGTACTGCATCTGTTTCCGCGAGGAGGGCATGCCACGACCTGTACGTGGAACCGTCACCTAAGGAAGCTTTGAGTCGGGTCAGGAGTGCTGGCCGGTCCACCATGTCATATGCTTTGTGTAAATCAATCTTAGCCATGACAATCCCCCTTCTCCATTCAGCCTCAAGTTCCATAACCCTCGCGACAGTGAATACATACTCACAGGTTTGCCTGCCTTCCCCGGAGCACTGCGACGCTCCTGTGGGTCTCAGGAAGGGGGCCGTTCGGTACAAGAGCATTCTGCAGTAGCACTTGGCAATGCTGGAGCCCATAGCCAACGGTCTCAAGTTCTTGGGGTCAACTGGATAGAGCTCTTTTTGGAATTACCACCATAAGGGCTGTATTCCAATCGGCAGGCACCTGGCAATCCCAAAAAACCCTGTTGAAAAAGGCAAGCAGGGCCTCCTTGCCCCCTGGCACCTGAACCAGGCCGGCCAAGAATTCTTGACTAGTACCATCCACCCCAATTGCTTTGCCCTTCTTCCCAAGTGCGACTGCTTGTTCAAGCTCTTCCATGGTGAACTCCTGTAAGTCGCCTTCCCAAGGGCCCAGTGGAGGAACAACCTGTCCCGTTGAATAGATCCCTGCTAAATGGTCGTGTATCACCTGGTGCGGGTCCTTTCCCTCATGGGCTTCAGCGAATACCATATCCCATCCCTCGTTGTTTGTCTTCCGAAGCTGTCTGTATGCCGCCCAATCCCCTGAAGTGGCCCTTTCTAATCTCTCCCGTTCCCAGCTCGCACGGACCTGCTTCCTCTGCTTCCGCGCTGCCGTCCAATCCGCCCCAACCCCTGTATCGCGGGCCCTGTGAAAGGCATCTTGCACCTCAGGAGGGTCCTTGTAGGCAGTCCCAGGCTTGGTGCGTGTGCACTTCGCTGCCAAGGCAGTGAGCGCGGGCTGGTCCAGAACTTGTGGAACCGAGGTAATACCCCCAATCCAAATTTTCGGCGATGTCTGATACGGGCGCCCTTTGTGACCCTCCGTGATGGCTGCACGTACCTCTAGCAACTCGTGATCCGTCCCCAAAGCTTTATGAGACCCCTGGTGTATGAGCAGCGGTCCTGTCCTGACTCTTGCCCCCAGAATCGCGTCAATCTGCTTGCCCGCGCGTCGATCCTGGCGGGGGCAGCTGGTGGGGGTCTCGAAGTCCTGAGCAGGCGGTGCGATAGCTGTCAACCCTCTGCTTCTGCACTGCGACAAGAACTCAAAGGTCTTGCCATTCTTTGCTGCCGGTACACCTTCCCCTTGTTCATCACTAGCCCAGGACATCACAGAGTTAACATCGCATCCCAACAGTACTGGCAGCTGCGTAGGTGGTAGGCCTTGCAAGTGTGCGCTAACCTGTTCAGCGTGCACAATCTGTGAGGTACCAGGCGTGAAATGAGCCGTGCCAACCCACAGTTCCGTGCCTGTGATGTGCCTTAGTCTAAACCACGTCCCCCTCGGTGTGACTTTTCGGCGCATCACGCGCCACTGCGTCGGTCGGTAGATCAGTCCGGTGTCCCGCCATGCATCTGCTTCCCGATGCTGGAGGCTTTGCCACTGCTCCAAGGTAGTTCGCTGCCAGCCTGCTTCCTGGCGAGCAACTTCTTGCACAAGAATTAATGCATCCACTGGGATTCTTTCCACAAGGTCAGAGATGGCCCTGGCATAGTTGTTCTCCGCCACACCACCCGCGTTCCAGCTATACAGCGGAAAGGATACCTTTGAATTAATTCGGGCTCTAGGCCTCGCTTCCTGATCTCAGTTGTGTGTGTCTTCCAAGCCCTGTCTCAAAGCCTGCGAGGAGACCCCAAGCTCGCGCGCCAGGCCGTCCACGTGGATCCAGTGCTTGCCTCCTTTGGTCTCATCCCATAGCACATCTGCCGCCGCCACCCCTGGTGGCAATGGCTGCTTGGCACTGCCCACAAAGCTGGGTCCGATCCACACCCCGCCCGTCGAGTATTCCATGTCGAGGCGCTGAACCTCACTTGGAGCGATGGCAGCCACTGCCCTCTTCACCCACGCCGCGTGGGAGGCGATGTCTCGCTCCGGCTTGCTTTTGGCATAGGTGGCGAAGAGCTTTTTCCCTCCAGGGAGGAGCACGCTGTTGTCTGAAACCGCCCGAATGATATCGTGCATGCGGCGCCTGGTCTCGTAGGTGCCTTCACCAGCACGCGGGGTGAATGTACTCAAAGCTGTGGAGCGCCGTGGGCCAGTTGTGAACGGCTCGGAGTCGAGGAGATTCCAGACCTGGAGCTTTTCAAGTGCCCGCTGGAGCTGCTTTAAGATGTCCTGACGACGGCTGTCTCTCGGCCAGCCGCCGTAGATGAGCGTGAGCCGTCGCTCACTGTCCCCGCCGCGTCGGTCCCCTTGCTCTAGCTTCTTGTTGAGTTCATCCAGCTTGCTTTCCAAAGCATCGACTTTACTCTCCACTGTGCCTAGCCGGGTCTCTGCCGAAGCCATCCTCTTCCCTGTGAGGTCCTCCAGAGCACCCATCCTGGCCTCCAGATGTTCGCGTTGAGCCTGCATAATTTTGTTCCCCGTCTCCTCCAAAAGCTTAGCTAGGTCGCCCATGTCCACAAGCACCTGCCCCTGCTTGGGAGCATCTCCTCCACTCTGGGTGGCCACTCTCTTGGAGGATCCCTGCCCTGGATCAGCGCCTCTCTTGACTGGCGAGTTCCCTTCGCTTTCCGGCAGAGGAGTTTCAGCTGCAAGATCAAGGTGAACCCCCTGACGGCGCCGTTCCCCCATGCTTCCCTCAGCCTGCTCTCGTCGGCCCCCCTGCAGTACTGACTCAGTTTCGCACAGTCCAGAAGCTCTGCTTTGCCTGCGGCCCACTCCGACTTTTCAGCAAGAAGCCCCGACCACCTCGCCACGAAGAGGACGAACTGCTCAACCACGGCCCGGACCTACGAGGAGTACGCGACCCACCTGCACACACACACCACACACACCAGGGGGCCTTGAGCCAAAATGGCTTGAGCCAAGTTTATTTAGGGTTTAGGGCCTAGGATTCAGGGTATGGAAGCGATGAACCTACTACGGGCCGCAATAAAAGGGTCTTCCGGGTCGCGTGCCAGATCTGTTACTGTCCAGTCGGGACTACGGTAGCCCATGCGTTCACAGGATGTCATATCCTCCTAAACCCTAAACCGGTACCCCTAAACCTTAAACCCTAAATGAGCCTGAGAACCAGAACTCTCAGCCCAAAAGCCCTGGACCCTAAATTGGATGTCCTGAGCCCTGAAAGCCCAATGGCGACATTTAGGGTTTAGGGGTTAGGGGTTAGGGGTTTAGGATTTAGGGTCTAGGGTCTAGGGTTTAGGGTTCTACATAGGGCCAGGCCGGAATGTCAAACACCTTTCCCCACTGCACCGACTCCTCCGAGCTTGAAGCGTAACCTTGCACAAGAAAAGGACTACAGTAGAAGTCCGAAAGCTGGAATCCCAATTAGGGTTTAGGGTTTACGGGCTAGAATTTACCTGAATCCTTACGAGTAATCAAAGTATAGGGAGTCCCGGCACTATTTGTCCTTAATCCGGTTTCCAATATTTTTTGGGGGGGTTTACTGCAAACCCATGAAGCCTCACTCCAAAGACACCTAGACGTAGCCACTACGCCCTAAGCCTATAAAGGCATAAGCCCCCTACTCCCTGGAACCTTAACTGGGGATCCAAAAACCTACCGTTTTAAGGCTTCTACCCTCTAATTCAGGGGTCATACCCTCTTATTTCGAAGGATTTGGGGTCACAAGCACGCCCTAAACCCTAAACCCTAAGCCCTAAACCTACAATCCAGGAAGACCCTAGAACCAAGTACCACCGAACCTCTGGCCAGCATCCCACTGCCCAGTATGGTTTAGGGTCCCCACCCCTCAGTGTCTCCGATCATGTACATACATTAACCCCCCCTCCCCCGAACCCTAAACCCTAAACCCTGACCCCTGTAAGGATTCAATGTACATAAATTAACCCCCGGCAACTCCAAGCAGCCTAAAGTTATGGACTTTAGGCTTTAGGGTTTAGGATTTAGGGTTTAGACTTCGGAGCCTAAAGTTGGACCTATTTAGAGTACTATTTGCCTACTTGCAGCCCTAGCGAAGGTACTTTCACCTTGCAGAGGTTCCCATATAGGTAAATTCCCTCAGCGTATATACCGCACGGATACAGGGACCCTTACTTAGTAGACGACCCGTAGCAAGAAACTCCGTATCCAGGCAGCTTTGATCTTTGAGCCTGAACCCCTCATGGCATCTATACTTTCGATGCTTTCCCAAGCCCGTAATATTACACCCTAAAACCCTAACCCTGAATCTGAAACCCTGAACCCTAGGAGTTAGGACTAGCAGGACCCTTGGGAATATAAACCCTCGCAACTTAAGGTAACTTAAGGTCCCCTCTAAGAGGGCCATTCCTGGGATTAAGAAAGGTCCGCTTTAAGGGGTCTCCCTAATACTAATTACTCAGGATGTATAAGTCCCCGCTGACCGGCCAGCTGCAGTCATTTTTACTCCCGCAGGCGAGAGAAGAGCTTTCTCACGTGCTGGCACTTCCGCAAGGTTTTAGGGTTTAGGGTCTAGGGTTTATCGGGTCCGGAGCTTTCGGATTGCAGGGTGTTCGATTGTGGAACCCTGATGGAAACAGACTTGAAGAATCAAAAGAATCAATACCTGGCTCTCCAAAAACTGAGCCCGTCCTGAAAGGCAAACTTTTAGCCTACATATTACGTGCAGTCCATATATAGAAACCCAAAAAGTTATAGTCCCTTAGCCAACCAGAAGATCGCCAAGACATGTAGTCCAGTAATCCATGGGTTAGGTTACGTACTGTGTGCCCTCAACCGGCGAGGGCACTACGTTGCGCAGTACGGCAGCTTGCGGCGCTCACACCACAGGAAGCTTGCATCCTGGTTCAAGGTGTTACTTAGGGATCCAAAATCCAGCCGCGTTAAGGTTCTACCCTCTACTTAATTAAGAGGCCATAACCTACTAATTGTAGGGTTTGGAATCATGCGTAGGTTAAGTAGTATAATAAGTATAATATGTAGTACTCATACACATGTACACATGCACACATATATGGTGCAGCACCCCCACCCCATGGTACCCCCCCCCTGTGGTTTCCAGTGTTGTGGCTTACCCCGCTCCTCCCCCCTTCGTGCTGTGGTTGTGGTCTGCTGCGTAACTCACGAAGCGACATGAGTTAGAACCAACAGTACAGTTGTTAGGTGAAACGGCAGAAGCATGGCAGCAGCACAAAAAAAATATCGCCATCATCCTCGATATGAGCGTCAAATAAATCATCATCGCCATCATCATCTTCATACTTATCATCAAGATGATCGTCCTCAGCATCATCGCCATTATGCTCATCTGCGTGGGGAGGGGGAATGGGTTGTGCGACAGACGGCCACAAACTTGCGAAGATTGCGCAACGGTTGTAGAACAAACGTCGACAGTTACGCGGATGATGTGTGACCGACTGTTTGCTGGGACGACAGGCCTGGCTTGGGAGGGTGGGGCGAGGGCCAAAGGGCTCGGGAGGGGGAGGGGTGCCTGTGACACGGCGACGCGGGACCATGTATGGGCCGTTGCAGGGGATTAAAATAGCATCGAGGGCACGGAGCTTAGGGTTGGGGTTGAAGGTTGAGGATTTCAAAGGTTTAACGTCTATAGAGTTTAGGCTGCAATAGACGTCGAAGAAGAAGAGTACATGAAGGACGATATGAATTTCAAGGGCCAGGACCAGACCCGAAAGCCCCTAAACCCCATTCCCAGCCCCATTCCAGCTATCTCGGAGTTAGGATTAGGGAGACTTCTGGGGATAAAGACCCTCTCAATAAGGTCCTTATTTTAAGAGTAGGGTTTCGAAGGGTCCCCTTTAAGGGATCTCCCGAATGCTAAGCTGGGATATCACATGCAAGTCCAGATCCTCAGGAGCCCTCCCCAAAAGCTCAAAGATCCAACTCTGGAGTCCTGGCCCCTGAAAGGTCCACCACCCCTCAATGTGTTTAGGGTTTAGGGTTTAAGGTTTAGGGTTTAGGGTTGCCATCAAAAACCATACGGAGGATTCCTTGTTCGAGTTCTACATAAAGCTTTGATCCAGAAGGTTCTACGTTGCTTCTATTACCGTTCTTAGGGCCTCGACTGAAATACCTAATCTAGGGGCCTACATAATTACCAATANNGGTTCCTTATTATACTTATAGCATAACATACCCCACAACCCTATTCTAATCATTATTAGTATTGTGATGATGACCATGATAATTATATATATATATATGTAAGTATTAAAGCCCCTACATGACAGCATTCCAACTCTGAGCCTCCCCGGGCACGGCATGCCACTCGCCCTCGCGGGGCGGGCAGGCAGAGAAGCAGCCAGGCCGGCGACGCGAAGGCGATGCAAAAGACCAGGCCTGCTTGTGGGATACGGGTTTAGGGTTTAGGGGTT